TTTACATTGACCATGCATATCATGTTCTTATGGCTGTTATCCATAATCAACTTGTTGGGAGGCCCCTCACATCCAGGGGCTTTGATACACATTGTATGGCATGGTACAGAAGAAGAAGGAAGAAGAAAAGAAATGAAAAGAAAGGAAAAGAAAAAGATCATGCTCCCTTCTCTCCCAGAATCCGTGCAGGTAAAAAGCGTTCTTCCTATGCATGGCACAAGACGAGAGGCATGACAACATTGAATAAATAATAACAACTACTGGACTGTTAACGGGAATGAAGTGTTGGCCCCGCCCTCGCTTGGGCAACGCCGACGACTTGGTCGGATGTACGGAAGTAGCAACCGACCGTTCACAATGGAAGAGCTGCTCGACAGGCTTCGTCGAGCTGCAGGGGACCGCTTGTTAACGGGAGTGGAATGTTGGCCCCCGCCCTCGCTTGGGCAACGCCGACGACATGGTTGGATGTACGGAAGTAGCAGCCGACCGTTCACAGTGGGAGAACTGCTCGACAGGCATCGTCGAGCTACAGGGGACTGCTGTGGTGCTGCTGTCGACCAGGGAGCTCACAGCTGCAGCTGACTGGTCTGGACGACGCCGTCGACTAGGAGGGGCAGTTCGACCGGGAGGCCTTCGTCGACCTGCAGCTCGACCAGGAAGTCTCCGTCGACCTGCAGCTCGACCGGGAGCAGTCCGTCGATCTGCAGCTCGACTGAGAGCAGTCTGTCGATCCGCAGTTTGATCGGGAGGTCGACGAAGCAGTCCGTCGACCTGTAAAGTGAGCAGCGGTCAACAAGGGGAGCTCGGCGACAACCCCTGACGGTTCTGGTCGACGGAAGGGGTCCGTCAACCAGAGGGTAGCTCGACGGGAGTTGTGGTCGACTAGAGGCACCTGGTGGTCGACCAGAAGCAGTGGTGGTCAACCGAAAGCACCTGGTGGTCGATCGGGTCGATCGAGTAACTTGCTCGACGAGTTCTATGGAGGCACGCAAACGACGCCAAGGTCGCAATGGCGCAGGCGACTTCGGGCTGGTATCCCGAAGTCGATGTGGCTCGTCAGGCGCAGACAACAGCCGATGGATGCCCAACGAGGCAAGTCGGGCCAATCGTCTGCGCGCACTTGCGAGCGTGCGCACTGCTGTGTTATACGGAGCAACGCTGGACAGCCGCTCTGCTGCAGCGTTGGCACGCCGTCGACCTGCTCTGTTGGAAGGTCGCCCTTCTGCAGTGCTGGCGTGGCTCCTCTACGCAACGCTGGCAGGCGGTCGACCGAGCTGTGCTGGCGGTCAACCAGGCTAGCTGCAGGGTTGCTAGGTGCCTGATGTAGTCTTTGTTGCGATTGCTTGTTCTATTATTTTGTAATTCCAACTTTGCTAGTGGAAACTCTTGCCGATTTCTCTCGTGAATGCGCAAGCACTAAGGAACGAAGCAAAGCTACAATCACTCCTAGTAGTTCGTGCCAACCCCCGTAGTCTAGCTCACTACCGTTGTAGATTGACTCTCCGCATGGTGCGGTGAGCGTGGACGGCCCCGCAGATTACCTTCAGATAGGAGCCGACTTTTGCACCTACTAAGTCGTTCGTAGGCCGGCAGCAGCCTTAGTCGCCATGGTCGACCCCGTAGTTGATGCGCGCGTAGCGGACACCTTGGGGGCACGTTTGGCTGACGCGAGGAGACGCCACGCGGATGGCGAGTACGGGACGATCCCCTTGCTGATCGTCGAGTTGGGCATCCGGTCGCAGTGGGCGACGGAACACCCTTCCCATCCTACATCTCCTCGACCGATGCGCAAAGAAGGTGGTGTCGACGACGAGGTCGACGGTGGTGCACGAGTCAGCGGCAGCGAAGGCACGAGTCAAAGAGGGGTGATCAAGGTCAACGGTGGTGTCGACGGAATCCAGGCGCGAGTGCAGCGGTCGACGGCAGCTGCAGGCAGCTCGCGTGCCGACGTCGATGTTCGATGTCGCTCTCCTCTAGGAATCAATGGAGGGCTCTCGGCGACGACGCATGTGACGGCGGGTGGGATTGCACCGGGTATGGTGTTGAAGTTAGAGAAGCCATGGATGGCGAGAGTGTTTGGTGAAGTAAAAAAGTTGAACTAGGAAGAGAAATGTCGAGGTACAAAAGAGAGATGGTTGGAAACCCTTATTGAACCTAGGGTGTGTTCGGTTTGTACTAAAAGCTACAAAATGAACCTAAAATGAACCTGAATGCGTAACGCTCTCTAAGCATGGAGAAATAATATAAGAACACCAAAATAAAGACCAGAGCGAGCTCTAGCCTACTCCAACACACCCCCAGGCTAGGTGAAGTTATGGAGCAAAACACCTAGCAAACCGGCACACCCCCAGAAGTGGAGAGACGCGTGAGCCCAAGCTCGCGTACGTAGAAACGGTGTGGCGCACGCAGAAGAGCCTTGGTGAAAATGGCAGCAAGGTTGGCAGCAGCGTCCACCTTGCGCAGACGTAAGAAACCAGACTGCACCAGCTCGCGCACAAAGAAATAGCGGACCTCGATATGCTTGCTGCGGGCGTGATAGACAGGATTTTCAGTGAGATGAATCATGCTCGCACTGTCACAGGAGAGTGTCACAGAGGACTGAGAGTGACCAAGCTCAGCAAGGAGAAAGGAGAGTCAGCAAGCCTCCTGAGCTGCCAAGGTGCCTGCGTACAACTCAGCCTCACAGGTGGAAAGGCAGACAGAGGATGAGTGAGTAGAGCGCCAGCTTATGAGACCACTACCAAGAGTGAAGCCATAGCCCTGAGATGAGTGGCGATCAGGGCGGGAGTCAGCATAGGAAGAGTCACTGTAGCCGGAGAGAACGGGAGGAACAGAGCCACCAAGAGTGAGAGCAAGGTCAGAGGTGGCGCGCAGATAGCTCGGGACGCGCTTAGCAGCCGCCCAGTGCACATCAGTGTGGCGACCTAGACCAACAAAGCGAGAGAGAACACTGAGGGGGTAAGCAAGGTCGGGGCAAGTGCACATCATGGCATACATGAGAGATCCAACGAGCTCAGGATAAGGCCGCAGCTCAGAAGAGGGAGCAGGGACGGCAGGGGCAGTGAGTTGATGGTTAGCGGGAAGAGGGGTGGAGACCGGCTTGGCTTGCGACATCTCAAACCGCTGGAGGATGGAGTGGATATAGAAAGACTGGGAGAGAAAGATGGTGCGGGCAGCACGATCACGACGGATCTCCATGCCGAGGTAGTGACGAAGCTCGCCAAGGTCCTTGCACAGGAGACGCGCCTGCAGGGCCTTCTTGACAGCTGCAAGATCGGCGGAGTCCTCAGCAAGCAACACCAAATCGTCCACATAGGCAAGGATGTAAGGCCTGTGGGGGATGTGCGAATGAAGAGACTGGGGTCTGAGGTTAGAGAGAAGAGTGGCATGGAGGAGAGCATAGCTCCAAAGAGAGTGGGGAGCAGAGGCATGGGTGAGAAGGCAGCGAGTGATTTCCATGAGAGTGCGATTGTGACGCTCGGCAACCCCATTCTGTTCTGGTGAGTGAGGAAGAGTGGAGGTCTGGCGAATGCCATGAGAGGCACAGTAAGAGGAGAGAGAGTGATTAAAGAATTTGCCACCACCATCCGAGTGGAAGCGCGCGACAGGAAGCTTAAAGCGTAGACGAGCCTGCTCAGCCCATCGAATGATAAGGGAGGCAGCGTCAGATTTGGCACGGAAGGGATAGACAGTGGCAAATCGTGAGTGGTCATCAACCAAAAGCAGAAAGTAGCGATGACCTTGACGAGACGCAGTGGGTGAAGGACCCCAGAGGTCCATGTGAACAAGGTCAAGGGGTTGGGGAGAGGCAGAAGGAGAAGAGGGATGGGGTGACTGGGATAATTTGGCCTGGACACATGGGGTGCATGGAGGAGCAGGAGAGGGAGGAAGAGGGGGGAGAGAGGAAAGGAGGCCATGAAGAAGCTTGGAGGAGACCATACTGCGAAGAAGGGGAAAATTGGGGTGGCCAAGCTGATGATGGAGGAGAAGGGTAGGTTGAGTGAGAGAACGACAGTCGCAAGAAGGAGCGGGAGGGGCGGAAGCGGAAGAGGCATGATGGGCAGAAGGGGGGAGAGAGACACGAAGAGTGTAGAGGCGAGTGATAGGGGAAAGAGTAAAGCGTGCAAGATGGCGGTTGCGATGATAGAGATCACAATAGGAGTCACATTCAGGAAAGATAGCTCGCACACAAAGACGTTGAAGTGCAGAGAGAGAGAGAAGGTTGTGGCGGCAGGAAGGGACATAGAGGCCAGTCACAGCACCAGAGGGGGAGGCAGGACAGGGAAGAGAGGAGGTAGCAGTGCAAGTCATGGTCATGGTATCCCCAGCTCCTTGAATGGAGAGGGGTTGGGGAGAAGAGCGAAGCACACCAGCATCACGAAAAACAGAGTCAGTGGCACCACTGTCAAGAACAAACTCAAGAGTGTGAGGGAGAGAAAGAGCAGCAGCTGTGGGACGAGGATACTGAGAATCATTGCCATTAACAGAAGGAGCAAACATCATGGCAAAACGAGGGTCCATAAGGGGAGAAGCTCCCAGAATGCTATCCTGACTAGGCATAGTCACACTGAGAGCAGAGGTTTGAGCACTGGTACCAGAGTCGGCAGCCACAAGTACCGCCTGGACAGAAGACTGGCGACGCTGATGAGAGAGTTGAAGCCAGTTGGGAGGGCGACCAGTGTTCCCAGCCAGGAACCAGTCATTGGTGAGCTTCTGGAAGCAGGAGGAGGAGGGATTATTGGTGCGACCGCATGGCTGACCCTTGCGGGGCCCTTGGCGAATGATGTAGGTGCAAGGAGGAAAGGTGTTGCGAGGGCGAGAGGAAGCAGCGGCGGCAGTGGAGGTGGGGAGAGGGGGGGGGGGGCGGAAGAGGGTGTGACAGCGGAGACAGTAGGAGGGCAGCTGCGGAGGTTGAGCTCTGCCTGGAGGAGGAAGGCAGAGACACGAGAGAACGACCACTGGTCGGCAGGGCGCTCACCATACACAGTGATATGAACACTTTATTCAGGAGTGAGGCCTGTGAGGAGGGCACCGCACACATGATCGGAAAGTTCAAACTTTTGAGAGGCAAGTTGGGAGGACAGCGTCTGCACACGAGCGATGTAGTCCGCCATGGTGGTGAAGTCAGCAAGGCAAAGAGAGGTAAGCTCGCGTAAGAGGGCAATGACACTGATGGGAGTCTGCGACTGGAAGCGCTCGGTAAGATAGCCGAGAAGGTCCTTGGCATAGCGGATGTGCGAGCACTGAGGGAGAAGGGTTGGAGGTAGGCAGGCAAGGATGACCTGGCAGGCACGTGTGTTGGCAACATGCCAGTCAGCGAGAAGGTCAAAGTGAGATGGAGCAGAAGCAGAGGGAGTAGAGGCAGAACGAGGAGAGGGGACAGCGAGGTGCTCAGTGAGGCGCTTGCGGGTGCTCTCGAGGGACTCAGCAAGGACACGAGCAAGGTCACGGGCTGCAGCATTGTCAGGAGCAGCAGCAGCAGTGGCTTGGGCCGTGGCCGCAATCCGCTCAGTTTCAGCGATAGCAGCACGAAGGCCATCAGCATAGGGGTCAGAGGAGGTAGAGGTAGGTGAAGAGGCAGGTTTAGGAATGGCACAAGAACCACTCTGCTGAGTGACAAACCAGAGGTTAAAGCCACTCACGAGGGTGCCAGACACCGAGCGCTCGAGACAGTTCAGCCAACTGGGGAAGTTGACTGCGCTGCCATCAGGCGCAAGCTAAAGGACCAGCAGAGGGAGGGAGGGGAGGGCGAGAGAGGTCGCCATAAGGAGGAGGAGACAGCTGCAGAGCAGATGAGGGGAGAGGTATAAGAGGCGGAGGAATAAGGGCGAAGGAGTCCGCTGCTGTGCCGCTGAGGGGAGAAACTAGAGGAGGAGGGATAGTGGCGGAGTAGTCCGCTGCTGTGCCGCTGAGGGGAGAAACTAGAGGAGGAGGGATAGTGGCGGAGTAGTCCGCTGTTGTGCCGCTGAGGGGAGAAACTAGAGGAGGAGGGATAGTGGCGGAGTAGTCTGCTGCTGCGCCACTGAGGGGAGAAACTAGAGGAGGAGGGATAGTGGCGGAGTAGTCTGCTGCTGCGCCGCTGAGGGGAGAAACTAGAGGAGGAGGGATAGTGGCGGAGAAGTCTGCTGCTGCGCCACTGAGGGGAGAAACAAGAGGAGGAGGGATAGTGGCGAAGTAGTCTGCTGCTGCGCCGCTGAGTGGAGAAACTAGAGGAGGAGGGATAGTGGCGGGGTAGTCTGCTGCTGTGCTGCTGAGGGGAGAAATAAGAGGAGGAGGGATAGTTGTGAAGGAGTTCACAGTTGAGCAGTTGAGGGGAGGGTACTGAGGAGGAGGAAAGGTGTGGAGGAGCAACAACTTCAATACACAATCAGTCACCAGCTGCAGCAGATGGGGAGAAAAAAGAGGTGGAGGAAAACGAGCGGAAGGGGAGTTAGAGGGAGAGAGGAGAGGAGGAGGATGGTGAAGGGGCGGGTTTGTGGGAAGAGCGCGCCACAAGCACGCACGAGTTGCAGCAGATGAGGAGAGAAAGGAGGAGGAGGAAGAGGTGAGATAGGGACGGATGGACAAAGGAGAGTGGAAAGGAGGAGGAGGGCGAGGGAGGGGAGGGCGGATTGGGAAGGGGCAGGGTGCGCCGCAGGGGAGGCAAGCGCCCGCGTTGCTCGACGAAGCAAAGCGCGCGCGGCGACGGCAGCGCAATGGGCGCGCGACGAGACGGGAAGGGGGGCGGAGGGGAGGGGGGGGGGCGGCTGAGCGCGCTACGAGCAAAGAAAACAGCGCGCTACCGCCGGGAACGTGAGAGGAGGAGGCGCGACGAAGGGGGAAGGCGCAGGAGAGCGAACGGACGGTAGGGAGGCGCGCTACGGAGTGAAATAGAGCATCCACGTGACTAAAATGAAGAAAACCGCGAGGATGCTAAGTGTGACTTTAAGGAAACGGTAGAATAGAAGAAAAGGAAAATTGTCTAGGTAAGTAGCGCGGAAATAGCCTAAGGACCAGAAAATTTCTAAGAGATACCGATAAAAGGGAAACGCCTAGGACTAGGGTTTGAATACCATGTTGAAGTTAGAGAAGCCATGGATGGCGAAAGTGTTTGGTGAGGTAAAAAAGTTGAACCAGGAAGAGAAATGTCGAGGTACAAAAGAGAGATGGTTGGAAACCCTAATTGAACCTAGGGTGTGTTTGGTTTGTACTAAAAGCTACAAAATGAACCTAAAATGAACCTGAATGCGTAACGCTCTCTAAGCATGGAGAAATAATATAAGAACACCAAAATAAAGACCAGAGCGAGCTCTAGCCTACTCCAACATATGGCTACTTCAAGTTCTCGTCGGATCGAATCACCGTCGCACCGCTGCAAGGTCGACGGGACCTCATCACTTGGAGGGAGTCGATTGAACCTCAGCTAGAGGTCGCCGGGCTGAAGGGCTTCGCCGACGGCACCATGCCAATTCCGGCCGAGGAGGAGGTCGAGCTGCGCGGGGAGTTTCGTTCTGCTCACCTGCTCACCTTCATGGTCATCTCGAGGTGCTGCTCGCCGGTGGTGCAGCTAGCGCTCAGGAGCTGTCGAGAGCGACTGGATGCTAGTCACCAGGCATGGCACTTCATCATGTCGACGTACCAGGCCAGATACGACCTGTACATCGAACAGTTGGAGGAGAAGATGACTCACATTCGGATGGGCCAGCAGGAGTCGGCGACGGACTACTGCAACCGTGCTTGACGGATCCTAGCTGAGAAGAGGATGGCGGGCGCCGAATACTCGACGGCGTCCTACATCACCCACGTCCTCAAGGGCCTGCCGCGCAGCTACAACCTCATGAAGAGGTTTACGATGGTGCTCGGCACACGTGAGTCCCTCGACGAGGACTCCCTTACCAGCTACATCCTCCAGGATGAGGCGATGCAGGAGGCAGAGCAGCCCACGGAGTTCCTTCCGCAGGCGAGTTACGCTGCACCGACGAAGCCGAATTGTCAGTAGGAGCAGCACAGAAAGCCAGGCGGAGGTGGTAGCGGAGGTGGGCGGTCGACGAACGACGTCGACGAGAAGAGGTCGACGCGGGACAAGGGTCGACGAGGTGGTGGTTGACGGCGGGAGTGCTGGATTTGCGGCGACCCCGACCATCTCTCCTTTGAGTGCCCCGACCGCGATGACAGCGACGAGGACGACAACAAGGGAGGCCGCGGTCGATCGGCCAGTCGTCGCCCCCTTCGAGATGCAAAGCCGTGCAAGGAGAAGCAGGCTTCGAAGAAGACGTCGTCGACAAAGGACGTCGACAAATCCAGCGGCAAGGGCCGAGGCAACGTGGAGGCGTCGTGCTCGATGGTCGGCGTGGTGGAGCCGACGGTCTCGCTAGCGCCGGAGGCTGGCAAAGACTACCAGGCGGTGGCGGCAGTGGTGCAGGCCAACCCGATGGCGGTGCTGCTCGACAGCGGGTGCTCCCGCCACCTGATGGGGACGAAGGCGGTCTTCATCGACATGGCACCGAGCGACGGAGAGAAGCACGTACGTGGATTCAACGGGGCGCTGCAGCCCGTCGAGGGTCGCGGAACCGTCGCTCTACAAGGGGAGGACGGGAAGCGGATCCTCATCCCCGACGTACTCCTCTTTCCGGGCGTACAGGCAAACATGCTGTCTGCTGGCCAGCTGAAGGAGAGCGGAGTGCAGTTGCAGGGCGACGGCGACGAGATGCTGCTCGTCGCTGTGAGCGGGGAGGTGCTCGGTTGAGCACGCTACACCGGACGAGTCCTCTGCACCGACCTTCGCCCCTGCTCGACGTTGTCGTCGTCGTCGACCGAGGTGGTGGCTTTGCGGACGATCGTCACGGCGACGAAGACGACCCCCGATAGGATACATGCGCGGCTCGCACACGTCAGCGTCGACACGATCAAGAGATCGGCGAAGCATGATGTTGCTACTGGGCTCGACATCACGTCGTCGACCGGAGCAGACCCGCCGTGTGTCTCGTGCATCCAAGGAAAGCTGGCGCGGCACACCTTCCCCGCCAAGGGCTCTGACGCAGCGGAGGCACTGGCTGTCGTGCACATTGACTTGTGCGGGCCATTTCGGGTGGCTGCCGAGGATGGCAGCTTGTACTTCATGTTGCTGAAGGATCGCCAGACTCGATTTGTATGGGCAATGCCGGTCGCTAAGAAGAGCGACGTACTGCGGGACTTCCAGCGGTGGCTGGTGCTGGTGGAACGGCAGACGAAGAAGTCGGTGCAGTCGCCTCGCTCCGATCAAGGAGGGGAGTGTGAAAGAGAGAACGAGAATGGAATGACTATGAAAGAAGTGAGTACAAATAGGAAACCCTAATTGGGTTGTACCCCCTATGGGATACCCCACTATAGCCTACACAATAGTACAAGCTATATAGTTCTGACACACCCCCATAGGCAAAGTGGGGGAGAACAAGGGGTCACAAGACCAGTCAAGCAAAGCAAAGCAAAGCTCAGGGTGGATCACAAAGTCACCACACATTCCGAGCACAAGTTCAAGGCCACATGGCCAGTTCAAATGCAAGATCATATATAGAGATAAACAAGAGTCAAGTAAGCAAGAGCAAGAGTATATATAGGCGAAGGTACAAGCAAGGTCAAGAGGAGAGCAAGTGAGGCAAGACAGGCACAAGACCCAACTGCGTGCAACAACGCTGATGATCACAAGGCGCAAGTGCCTTGGTGAAGACATCAGCAGTGTTGGCCTCAGAGGCCACGTACGCAAGTCGCAACTGTCCACGCTGCTGTAGCTCACGAGCAAGAAAGTAGCGGAGAGCAATGTGCTTCGTTCTGTGCTCCAGTCTCTGCTCTCGACACAAGGCCAGCATGGCCTTGTTGTCTACGTACAGGACTGGAGGAGAACGAGGCTGCTCTCCAAGGTCGGTCAACAGGTAGGTGAGCCAGCGTAACTCCTGTGCAGCCATAGCCCCGGCGTAGATCTCAGCCTCACAACTGGAGCCGAGAACAGAAGACGAGCGGGTAGCCCGCCACGAAACAGAGCCGGAACCAAGGCTGAAGGTGTAACCCTGTGACGACCGCTGCGTAGCCTGGTCGTCAGCCCAAGAAGCGTCCGCGTGCCCAGTGAGGACCACTGGACTGCGCCCTCCAAGCACTAGCCCCATGCCCGACGTACTGCACAAGTAGCGCAACACCCTCTTCGCTGCAGCCATGTGCTCTGGTCGGTGTCTCCCAGGAGCAACATAGCGTGCGAGAATGCTAAGAGGGTATGCAAGGTCAGGTCGTGTGCAGGTCATCAGGTACATGAGGCAGCCAACAAGCTCTGCATACGGGCCACTCGAATCTACGGACTCATCCGAAGGCAGAGCTGAGAGCGAGTGGCGAGTAGGCAGAGGAGTGGCCTGAGGCGAGGAGTACGTGAAGCCGAAGCGCTGAAGGACCTGCTGCACCATGTGTGACTGAGTCAGGGTAATGGTGCGGCGTGCTCTGTCCCGGGTGATCTGCAAGCCAAGATAGCTGCGCAGTTCACCCAGGTCAGTGCACGTGTGTCTCTTCTGCAGCTCGGACTTCACGTAGGCGAGTCCAGCAGTGTCAGCTGTGGCAAAGACCAAGTCGTCGACGTACACGAGGATGTAGAACGGCGGCAGAGAGGTGTCGGTGCGCAGAAACAGCGACGGGTCGGCAGTAGAAGGAGCAAACCCAAGTGCCGCGAGCGTAGTCCTCAGTGTGTCGTGCCACTCACGTGGCGCCTGGCGGAGACCGTAGACTGGACGCCGGAGACTCCACTGGGTACCAGGAGGGAAAGACCCAGTGAAGCCAGGTGGGCGACGCAGCCAGATCTCCTCGTGCAGGCTGCCCTGCAAGAAAGCTGTGCTGAAGTCGAGAGAGTGCAGCTCGTAGTCACGGTGAGCAGCAACGTGCAGCAGGACCCGAAGAGTGGTCATCTTCGGGGTGGGGGAGAAGGTCTGAAAGTAGTCAACCCCCTGCCGCTGACTGAAGCCACGAGCCACGTAACGCGCCTTGAAGACAGGCGGAGAACCCGGCGGCCGCTTCACCCTGAAAATCCACATGCCACTGACGATGTTCGCCCCAGGGGGGGGAACAGCGTCAACGTAGGTGCCTGTGGACTTCCAGGAAGCCATCTCTGCATCCATAGCTGCCTGCCACTGAGAGGAGTAGGGACCCTCTATCGCCTCCGCGTAAGAGCGCGGAGTCGGGATGTCTGGTGCATCCGGGTCTCCCTCAGGGGCTAGCAGTACAGACGCGAGACGAGGTGAAGCGGCGGCTAGACACTGGAACTCCTCCTGCCTGTCCTCAAGGACGTCCGTGCCAAGGGCACACTCACCCCCGACGGACGGAGGACAGGCGGACTCAGACTCAGTGACAAGACGGGCAGCGTAGTCTAGACGACAGCGCGCAGCAAAGTCGACAAGCTCAGTGACAAGGGCAGACGCAGCAGACGACTCGAAGGAAGGGTCAGTGACAGCTGTAGCAAGGAGACGCGTGACAGTAGGACTGGCAGCACGAAGAGAGTCCGACTCCGGGTCGGCAAGAGCAGGAAGAGAGGAAGCAGGAGGAGAAGGCAAAGGGGCACGCAGAGGAGCAGTGGACGGACGCAGTGACATCCGGTGCGTGCCAGGAACAGGAGGAGGACGCTGACGCGACCCGCGACCACTAGCGCGCTCAGTACGAACAGGCGACACAGGACGAGACGCAGGCTCACGACGCTCAGTAAGACCTCCAGTCGGACCAGTGTAGGGAGACGGAGCAGGCAAAGGGGAGGCAGGCTGTAGCTGTGGCTGTGACCGGACAGGCTGTGGACCCTCTAAGGGAGGAGGAGGAGGAGGCGGAAGACCAAGAACCTGCTGCAGGAGCGGAACGAAGTAAGGTCGGGGCCGCGCGGCGACACCAGAAACAGCAGGAACAGTACCAGCAGCCCCGGCAGGAGTACCCACTCCAGCAGCACCTCCAGCAGCACCACCAGAAGCTCCAGAACCTCCAGCAGCAGCACCAGGAGCACTGTCAGTCGGACCGCCAACGGCAGGCTCAGCGCCAACACCCTCAGTAGCACCAGCTCCAGGAGAACTCTCAGACCCAGCAGCTCCAGCACCCACAGTACGAGCACCGGCGGGACGCGAGGCAGCAGTACCCTCTGCAGCCGAAGAACCACCAGCACCAGCAGCACACCTCCAGCGCCTGGCAAACCACTCACGCAGCTCCTGCGGGGAGAGTGGCTCCCGGCGAGACGAAGCACCCCCAGGCACAGCACCCCCAGGCTCAGCACCCCCAGGC